CCCCAAAACCCCAAAACCCCAAAACCCCAAAACCCCATTAGCCTTAAATGAACTTAAATTATGGCTAATTTAATTAATGAATTGGGAAAAAGATATTAAATTATATAGGTTATTGTAGTTGTTATTAGTTATGCTATCGATTATCATATATTATTTAGCAAAAGTGATATTCATTGCACTGTAACTGATTGAGATCTTACTTATTAATTATCTGCTTGTTTCTTTTGTTGTGCATCCATTTTCATTGACTAAGGTATAAATAATTAGCCAGTGGCCATCTAGTTTTAGTTCTTGTTAGCCTTTGTACTCTGATAGTGCCCATAAAGCTCAGTTATGTTAAGATTATTTGCTCCGTTCACAGAAGAACCACCTCTGTGGTGAGCACTGTTAAAGATTGATTGATAATCAATGTTGAGTTAAGGTCTCTTCTAATTTCCGACACTAGGTTAGTTTTACTATGAGTTCGATTCTCTTCTGTCTGAATGTCTGCTTCTTCCAATAATTTGGGCTGCTTAGAGTTCTCCCATTTAAGTGCTCACTATCATTGAGTTATTCATAATTCCTCCATTCGGATTAGTCTGCTTATATCCAAGAGCTGTATTGGTCCTATTATTTGCCTCTGGAAGAGGTGTCACCATACCAACTGGAGTGAATGGTTAATTTGAGGTATATGGATTGCTCGGTGCAGTCGAGTTCTTGTAGTTTTATCTAAATATTTTGTTGTTCAAAGACCCATTAGCATTAGTCTAATACTCATTATTTGGTGTAATGCCTCTACCCTAGATAGTGTATTAATCTGATCTCCTGTTTTCTGGACTAGTATCACGAGATGAAGTCTTACCTCTTTTAGAGTTTGGCATAATAGTGGAATTTTCTTGAGCATATGTTACAGTTTGATTCATTTTTGTTGCTCCTTAGAATAGTTGAGGAGGAATCCTGATCTTCTTAGATCCTTAAAATGATCCATCTGTTTATCCATTCTATTGAATTGTAGCTGTTCGCTAATTATTTTTAGATGTACCGATTGTCTAGAAATTAAAAGTGGTAGTCTTGTTCATATCAAGTTATTGCCAGTTGTTTACTGTTTGATTACCTAGCTGTTATTTTTTAGTGCCAACTAGAACTTGAGGATTATTTTTAAGATATCTTAAAGGTAAGTTTAGTTTTAAAGGGTTTTATGCCTAATACAATGACGAATTCTGATTTTATTATATTGATTGTTATTATAATTGTTGTTATTACTGGATAGATGTTGTTTGTGGTGCTTAATTCATAGATTTGAATCTCTGATGCAATGAAGGTGGTCCTTGGATAAGAGGTTCATAATTGTTACCTTTCCTCTGCTGTGAATTTTCACTTTTTCTTTAATCTGAATAAGAATTAGCAGTTGTTGCTGTAGTCGTTGAAGGGAATATTGACTATTGGTTCTTGCTTGTTGCTCTAAACTAATTCTAGAATGACTTCTTTTGGCTATTCTACTAAACATAGCTATTATTAGTAACATTCGAATCGTTAAGGGTAACAACTAGGGAATTTCCTATCATATACTTGTCTGGGGATTTTGATGTGTTTGAGTTTATTCGAGATGCTATTATTTCCTACCTTTCATTAGTACCATTAGTCAAATTGCTTGGGGCAACTTGAACTTAGTTATTTCGGTTCAATTCACTCAATCTAGAATGAGGTGCATCCTCTACTGACATATCTCTCTAATGCTTAGGAATGGAATCAGCAGCCATCGAGTTGTCTATCATATTATTGATTTTAGGATTAGTTGCAATCGGCATCGTTTAATTTAGATTAGTAATGGGCTTCTTTTGGTGCTATTATTAGCTTGTTCTTAATTATTGTTTTAAATCCACGAGATTAGTGCTAGTCGCAGAGCTCTAGTTCAGAATAGGTGCTATAGTTTCTCTGAGGGCTTAAGTCCTTTTATTTCTTTTTTGGATGAGATGATAGGTTGCAGTAATATGATTGTGACGATTAGCTTCTAAGCATTTTACCGAATAATCTTTTTCGAATCCATATTCGACTAGTATCTGTTCTAATAAATTATCATCTATAGGCATCTTTTTTAACCCTGGGAATAAGCCGACATTATCCTTATCTACTCTTTAAATTTACTTAAACCATGGATGAGCCCTTATATCAGCAATAGTGAATCTCTCTTCTGGATCTGTGTTTAAGATTTTAGTAATCAAATCTCTTCCATCATTACTAACGAACTTAGGTATTTAATAATCAGCGTTCAGGATTTTCTTATATAAGTTTGATGTTTTAGGATCTTCAAAAGGTAAATAACCGCATACCATTGCGAAAAGAACTACTCCGGAACTCCAAATATCTGTCTGAAGTCCATTGTATCTCTTTCCTGCAATCATTTCAGGGGCAGCGTAACAGGGAGATCCACAAGCTGTTTTTAAAGTCTCTGCCCTTTCATAAAGATTACTAAGACCAAAATCAACAATCTTGAGAGTTTTATCAAAATCAAGTAGCAAATTTTCGGGCTTTAAATCTCTATGGCAAACGCCACTTTTATGCAGATATTCGATACCAGATATGAGTTCTTGATAGAATTTGCACGCTTATTTCTCTGATAATCGTTAGTGCTGAACAATATATTCGAAGAGTTCACCTCCACTCGAATACTCCATTACCATGAATAGTTCTTTATCAGTTTCGATAATCTAATTTACATTCATGATTAAAATCACTATGGATAGATAACTTACTTCATATAACTGAATTACGCAAGGGTGTCTAACTTTTTTTAAGATTTTGATTTCCCTTGTGATTCTTTCAACATCTTTTTTATCTTTGATCTTGTCTTTTTCGAGGATTTTTACTGCTACCTGTAATTTTAGACAAACAAATAATTACTTTTTCTCCTGTAAGGGTATGCTAACCTTACTTAACCTAGCCAAAGGTTCCCTTTCCAAGTGCCTTACCTAATTTTTTTAATCACTTTTTTAAATGATCATACCTAGTATATAATGTCCTATAGTTATTCCAGATGTCTAGACTTGAGGTGTTGTTCCTTTCATAATTTTATTAACAATCTTTTTTAATCAAATCTGTCTAATTCTTACAATCTGGGGTTTTGGGGTTTTGGG